TCTGAAGAATAATTTCCAGCATTTTGGTATTTCTTTTCCTTTTATATATATGTTCTTGTATTGTATGTAGCGCAGCCAAGGTAACCTTCCATTATATATGTTGTCCATCTCTTTGGCTGTCACCTTCATGTCCTCCTATATATATATATATATATATGTCCAACCATCTTAGCCATGGCACAAAATCACCCATCTAGCAGATAAGATCATATATAGAATCTCTTCATCATCACGACGTACTATCTGTCTGTTGTCTTCCTCAAGCCGGCCAGCCGGCCACTGCCCGAAAAGCATGATTAATTAATTTCCCAAACCACTCCTTCATTGGTGTAATTTCTTTTGGATGAGATGTCACATTGTAGCTTTTTTGAATGCTTTTGACTCTATTAGCTAGAGTGCTGAAGCACAAAGAGTCAATGACACCTTCACTAAGGCTCGAATTCACTCTCTTTCATATAAGAGTGCAATTCGGGTGTCATTAGACTACAATATCTTGGCATGTCACATTGTAGTTAATCACCCATGTATAGATGTAATACACCGGCAATGTATCAAACATTTTTCCTTATTTTAAAGGGAAAATGACAGTTTTAATATATTAGTTATGTCTAAATTGTATACTCAGTTTATAAATTATTGTTCTATACAACTTTACCCCTTTAATTATGTTGAAAGTGGTTGTTTTAATCTATTACTTACAAATTTTATTAACATTAAAAAATTATTTTGATTTGTCAAATTATTAGGGGACAAATTGGTCCTTTTGTAAACTTTTCCTTAGTATAAAAAATAGGCTTTTCATATTGATGATTTCAAGTGAATGTTGAGTTCATTGTAATGTTGATTACACGAAAATATCTTAATCTACAATTTAGTCATAATTAATGGACTACATTTTTCCTCTTTATTTAAAAAAAAAATCAAAAAAGCGAGTTTCATAGTGGTTCGGCAATGTGCCTACGTCCACGAGAGTGAAACTATTCTTTATTCATAGTGATGGTGATAGTGGTGATACGACCATCAGGAATACAATCAATATATTTATAGGCATCTAATCCCTATACAATAGGTCTACCCGCTTCACTCCTAATCGGGCAAACTCATATTCCTAATTCTTATATGAGACAAACTCAACAATCTGCACCTTGGCGAATATGCTCTTTAAGAGAAAATATAGCTCAACAAATGTCCACCTTGGCGAATATGCTCTTTAGGAGAAAAGATTTATCTCACAATCCCCACCTTCACAAATATGCCCTTTACGAGAAAAGACTTATCTCACGTATACACATGGGTATGAACAACCATGATCATCCCAACTAGCCAGCTACATGCACCACGCAGCATGTATATGAACCGCTTTGTCCCAAGTCATTCGCCCTTAGCCGTCGACCTGTTATACCAGTCGTAAATCATGCTAATTGTCCCGTTCAGCTAACTTCCTGCATCTGGCCCATACTAGGTTTATGTCCCCTCCTGGTATCTACGCTGCCCCAACACAACAGCACCCCCTGCAAAGTCACACTAAACCCGTGTGTCTTGTACTCTTGCTCAATGCTCCACTAACCAGCAATTGCCACTAGCCATCAACACGCACCATGCAGAATCAAACGTTTCCTAGTGCATGTTCACGAACCGCTTAGTCCCGAGCAGTCCGTCCACACTAGGTTCACGACCCCTCCTTGTATCCGCTCTGCCTAACACAGCACCCCTCACCACCTTCTCATCTAGCATCTAGAAACATCCAACAAGTCCAAACAACGTTCGATCTTGTTATTACTAGTTGTTAGTGTTTTAACTATAAACATCTTTTATATGTTAGCTATATTATGACAAATTAGATTAGTGTAGGACAATAGTTCTGATAGAGTAGTCCCTGGTCAATCAGTTCCTACACCAGTGAAGATTTGAAAACTTGCTGAATATCTTCACCGACCTATCTTCAGGCCCGACAGTGCACTTTACTATATTCAAGCTTTTGGAAATCAGAGTTTAAGAAGTCAAATCTTTCCTAAGAAGAGTTATGGCAACTTGGCAAGTGATCTTCGAATACATGGTAACCCTAAGAGATTACTCATTTACACGTATTAGGTGAATATATAGTGGCTTGTGTAGAAAGATGAGTTAAATTATGAAAAGAAGTTAATTCCACCAGAGGTCCCTTGTCTTTGGAGGCAATTTCAAATTTAGTCTCAGACTATCGTTTTTGTCTTTTAACATCTCAGACTATTATTTTTTTAGACACTTTTAGTCTTTTTCATGACTCTTCCTATTTTTAGTAAGGACATTTTTGTCTCTTCATATTTTTCTTTTATTAATTTTTCCGGTTTAAACCAGTTTAATTGGTTTAGAACTTTACTAAAAAGTAAAAACCGATTGAAAAATATGGTTACTAAAAATTAGAGGTTACCTAAAGTTCTAAACAAATTAAATTGGTTGAATCCGGAAAAATAACAAAAGAAAAATATGAGAAGACAAAAATACCCTTACTAAAAATAGAAAAAGTCATGTGAAGGACTAAAAGTGTCCAAAAAATAATAGTCTAGGATGTTAAATGGCAAAAACGATAGTCTATAACTAAATTTGAAATCGCTACTAAAGACAAGGGACCTTTGGTGAAATTGATCCTTTTCATATGCATTGCAATCGCCACTAAAAGTGTCCAAATGCAGTGCACGCGCCAGCTGGGTGCGTCAGGCGCGCCTGACAGTTATTTGTTCAGGTGCGGCAGTGTCTTACGGTGCGGCAACACCAATAGTTCACCAAATATGCACCATCAACATTAGGAAATACACCACACAAAACAGAGTAAACAGAGCCCTGCATCACCAAACACACACCATTAGGTGTGAGTAAAAACACCATACACTGTTCGGAAATACACCATTGGGGGTGGTGAGTTATATGGTGTGTTTTTTTGAGTCTGTGGTCTATTTTGTGATGTTTTATTACATTTCATTGGGGTGTGTTTTTATTACACTGTTGGTGCATATTGTTAACACTGTTGGTGTATTCTGGAATTTGACCGCACCGTCGCACCGTAAGACCCCGCCGCATATGAGCGCTCTTCTATATATATATATATATATATATATATATATATATATATATATATATATATATATATATATATATATATATATATATATATATATATATATATATATATATATATATATATATATAGCGCATTCGCACACACTTAATCTAATCTAGACCATTAAAAAATATTAGATGGATGCACATGATGCGTTCTCACGTTCTCAGCGAAGCACATGTTCTCACTGGAACCCTACCCTATATTACTATATATATATATATATATATATATATATATATATATATTTAAAAAAAAAATTAGTTTTGCTTCTTTTTTTTTTTTTCTCTCCCTCTCATATTCTCTTTCCTAATCACACTCACAAAAACTCCTCAAAAACCACAAAATATCTTTACTATTATGGATGCTCTTTTAAAAACGACGTCGTTTTCGGCCAGGCGCACAAGGTGCACGATATAATTTGCCGAGATGTCTTCAGTAGGCCATAATTATAGGAGGTACCTTTAAGCTCGTACTATACTTAGACTAATCTCTGTTCACATCAAGCCAGCCCAATCAATGTTATAGACTGATCTTTTTTTTTTTTTTTAAGGCAGGATAGTGCATGACCACCATTAGTTATTGTGTGGGCCACGTTCCAAAAACCACGTCGTTTTGCTTAATTTTATTTTTTCGCACGTCTAGCTGCAACATACATTTTTGTAACTCATAATGTACATTATTCTAAAACATAATGTAAATTATTCTAAAGCATAATATACAATATTTTAAAACATAATGTACATTATATCACCCCAGATGTTTCATTATTCTAACATGTAATGTATATTATTTTAACACGTAATATACATTATTCTAAAATATAATATACATTATTTTAACACATAATTTACATTATTTTTAATCATAATATTTGTGAACAAAGAAAATTGGATATATATTTAGAAATTCAAAGTTCTGGTTTACATATCAAGTATCAATGCGGTGTGGGTACATGTCTCTGGATATCCTCTGATTCTTCAATTGGTGCCTTGAACACTCCACCATTGAAGGGCCTCCGGGTTTCAAGTGGCTTGATCTTCAAAGAAGGGCTTGTATATATAGATTGTTCTTCTTGAAGGGCCTCCGGGTTCAAATGGCTTGATCTTCAATGGAGGTTTGGATCAATAGGCATAGGCATAATCATTATGGAGGAGAGACTTCTACTTTCAGTATCACATTTTTATTGTGATCCTGAATAATATTTTTCTAGATGTTTACACCACTTTTCCTAGGATGTGTGAGATTACATAGAAATGAGAGCTCCTATTTATAGCTGTAGGATAGAGAGTTTTGATAAGCTCAAACTCTTTTGATATCAATATTATCCAAAATATTTCAAATATATTCAAATATACTAATATTGATAAATAATCAATATTTATCAAAATTTAAGTGTCTACAATATTCACGACAATATTTTGAACCGTGGTCTACACAATTATATGAACCATGGTCCACATAATAATTTGCCCACGATCACTCATGTCAACCAATAATGATTACTTATTTATTTACTTTTTACCGTACTAGTTTACAATATAACGTTATTCATTTACTTTTTACCATACTAGTTTACAATATAACGATAGGTGAACATTTTTATTTGATATAAAGCACAAAATGTAATGTTTTTAATGCAACGTATAACTTCTTAATAAGGAAAAAAGAAAGAAATTTAAAGCTCTAACCTACACTTGAATTATTTTCTGTCTTTTATGTACTGAGTAAGTGAGTAATAAAGAAGGAGATTTCTTTTTTTAATGGACCCCAATTTGGAGTTGAAAACTGACCGTTTTGACTTTCTTCCATACGTAATCAAAATATGACCGTTACGATAAATATTTAAAATTTCAAATTGGCCCACCTCGCAGTTTCCCCTGAAACTGGAATGCCTCCCTCTAAAAGCATAACTCCCAACCGTTAATCACTTTAATCTCTTCCACAACCCAACGGCTTAGATTTCTCTTTCCATTTCCGAATCGTTCTTGAAATCTTGATCTGCTTGCCCTTCACTCTCTTCCCATTTTAGCTCCCTCTTCTACTGTTCGCTTCGCTGGCATGGCACCATCAAATTCTTGATTTTTCGACGACAAAGTTCTTGACTTTTTGCAGTTCTAGGCTTCTAGCAGTTTCAGTAGATAGGGTCCAGGTTTTTGCAGATGAAAATGCCGGTTTCAACAAGATCTCAGATCACTAGCAGCAAAACCAGAGCCAAGCCGGAAATTCAAGAACTCGATGGAGTGGGTTCCGCCGCCGCCGCCGCCGCGGCGATGAGAAACCCGCACCATGGGTTGAAAGAGAAGATGAAAGCTCTGAGCCTTTTGTATGAGCAGCAAAAGCGAGCCTCAATGGCGCTCAAGAACCAGTCTTTAAAGGCCGAGGATCCAAGATTCACCACGCACCCTAGTGTGGATCTCCTCAACTCTGCGAAAAAGGACGGAAAAGACGGCAAAGAGCCCAGACCATTTGGTAACGTGATGAAGGAGAACACAATGCCCATTTGGCAACCTCCGCCGCCGCTACACCGGCCGCCGGATGAGGAGAAGGAAAACGTGGCTGCGGCGGCGGCGGCAACTGTGGGCGGCGGAGAAAGGATTAGAAGGGCAATTGAGACTAGAAATGTGGCTAGGAAGCTCTCCCTTGGGACTTCAGCAATTCCTATAAACTCAGAACCCAAAGGGATTAACAAAGAGAATGTTCAAGAATTAGAGAAAGTGAACGAGGGGGGGACAAGGATCCTTGTTTTTGTGAGGCTAAGACCAATGTCTAAGAAAGAGAGAGAATCTGGGGCTAGAAACTGTGTAAGAATTGTGGATGGTAGGGATGTTTATCTCACTGAATTCTCCACTGAGAACGATTATCTAAGGCTAAAAAGAGTCCGGGGAAGACATTTCAGTTTTGATGCCGCATTCCCAGAATCCGCTTCTCAACAAGAAGTCTATTCCACAACGTGAGTTTGAATAAAATTTCTGCTTTTTATTTGTTGCTTAACCAATTTATGCACTCCCAGAATTTTTCTGATTAGACTATGCATCATCTTTGTAGTGGAACATGTATCACTCATTTGCTAGACTTACATTAGGTCCTAAAGATTGGACTTTTATGAGTAAATACCCAACTTAGTCCACTTAGACGACTTTTTGTGCTTAATTAGATATTAACTTTGATGATTTTACTCAATTGAGTCATATGTTAGGATGGTTTTACCCAGAATTTTTCTGATTAGACTATGCATCATCTTTGTAGTGGAGATTTTGTTAGACATATATCACTCATTTGCTAGACTTACATTGGTTCTAAAGATTGTATTTTTATGACTTAATACCCAATTTGGAGTCATACACTATAACGGGTTTTCTTGATTTAGTCTTAGATGACTTTTTGTGCTTAATTAGATTCTCGATTTTGACGGGTTTACCCAATTGAGTCATCTGTTAGGATAGCTCATTAATTTCAGCTCTATTAATACTCAATTCAATTCAATCCTAGACTATAGTAGTTTTAGTGTTTTACCTAAATTAGTCGATTTTACTCAATTCAGTTCTTGACTATAATGATTTTTATCAATTTAATCTTTGATTTGTCTAGGACTCAATTAGGTAAAACAATGGAAGTCGAGAACCTAATTAAGCACAAAAAGTCCTTTAGAACTAAATCAATAAAAAATCACTATAGTAGAGTACTAAATTGGGTATTAAGTCGGATTTTTATTGTGTTTAGTCATTCATTTTGTGTACTGAAGCTCTAAATTCTTCAACTGCTGGAATTCAGAACAGCAGAGCTTGTTGAAGCAGTTGTGCAGGGAAGAAATGGGTCAGTGTTTTGCTATGGAGCGACCGGAGCCGGAAAGACACACACAATGCTGGGCACAGTTGAGAGCCCTGGAGTTATGGTGTTAGCCATAAAGGATCTGTTTACCAAGTTAAGGCAAATGAGTTTTGATGGAAATCATGTTGTTCATCTCTCCTATCTTGAAGTCTATAATGAAACTGTCCGGGATTTGCTATCCCCGGGACGCCCTCTTGTCCTTAGAGAAGATAAACAGGTCTGATTACTCTTTGGGAAATTGTTTTCAAAAGGTTTGATTCAATTCATTCTCAAAATAACTTTTTTTTTGTTTTTGTTTTTGTTTGAACATTATTCAGGGGATTGTGGCTGCTGGGCTTACTCAGTATAGAGCATATTCCACAGATGAAGTATTCAAATTCTTTAAAGACAATTGAATTAGTTGGCGAGTTCGAGAAAAAAAGGTTACTGATTTCTCTGTTTGTTTGTCCCAGGTAATGGCATTGCTTCAACAGGGAAACCTTAACAGAACCACAGAGCCAACTCGTGTCAACGAAACATCCTCGCGGTCTCATGCCATTCTGCAGGTGTTCTATCGTGTTGAGCATTTAATCACTGTTGCAATTTAACTATCAGCTTAGACTTTTGGTTGAGACGGAGCATATGTTTCAATTTTATCGTTCCACACTTTCTTATGTGCTGTTGCAATCTAACTATCAGCTTAGACTTTTAGTTGAGACGGAGCATATGTTTCTGTTTTATCGTTCCACACTTTCTTATGTGCTGTTGCAATCTAACTATCAGCTTAGACTTTTAGTTGAGACGGAGCATATGTTTCTGTTCTATCGTTTCACACTTTCTTATGTAACATTCAGGTTATGGTTGAGTATCGTTTTAAGGACGGTTCAGATAACATTGTGAATCGAGTGGGGAAACTATCACTCATTGATCTTGCTGGCTCCGAAAGAGCTCTTGCCACTGATCAGAGAACACTGAGATCTCTGGAGGGGGCGAACATAAACCGGTCACTCCTGGCACTCAGCAGCTGCATCAATGCATTGGTGGAGGGGAAAAAACACATCCCATATCGAAATTCGAAGCTCACTCAACTGCTTAAGGATTCGCTTGGTGGAGCTTGTAATACTGTCATGATTGCTAATATCAGTCCAAGCAATCTTGTTTTTGGCGAAACTCAAAATACTCTTCACTGGGCTGATAGAGCTAAAGAAATCCGAACAAAGGCTTATGATGCACATGAGGAAATGCAAATTCCCGAATCAGAAACGGATCAGGCCAAGCTATTACTCGAGTTGCAGAAAGAGAACCGTGAACTTCGAGCTCACTTGGCTCGTCAGCAGCAAAAACTGTTAACTATTCAAGCACAAAATTTGGCAGCAAATGCATCTCCGGCCCCTTCTACACTCTCCTCTCACGTATCCCCCGCTCCCTCGCCCGTTTGGCCAAGCGAGAAACGAAGAACGAGGCCCTCTTTCTTGGGTGGCAATTGCTTTACCCCAGAATCGAGGAAAAAGGGAGCAGATGAGGCTGCAGTTAAGGAGCTGAGAAAAACGGTGAAGGTACTCGAGGCTGAGATTGAGAGAATGAAGAAGGATCATGCATTGAAGATAAAACAGAAGGATAATTTCATTCATGAGCTTTCGAGGAAGAGTGGGAAACCGACAGTAGTAACGAGGGCCGGTTTAAGACCAAAGAAGCCTCACGAGGATGACCTGAAGAGCCCTCGCCATCGTTTTATGTCCCCAGTTCCCACATCGAAAAAACGTAGCTTCTGGGATACAACCACAGCAAATAGTCCATCACTTGCTGCCACCTTGAATGGGAGAAAAACCAGAAGCCATGTCAATTCTGAACTTACTAAACCTCCATCCAAGCTTCTCCAGGTGCATTTTGCTTTCCCTTTGCATTAGTTTTTGCTAAGATGGATAAGACTATGTTATATATATTTGCGTGTACCTTTGAGTTTCTTTCTTTCTTCTGCAAACTGATGCAGCTTGCATATCCATGTTTCTGGTTTGTGTTCATGGTTGGACCGCACGTCTTGAATCTCAGCCTGGATTTGCTTGGCCAAGACCCGAAACTGTAAAGCCATAAAGTTTAGTGAAGACGACGAATAGGGAGTTTGAAGAATTTGGTATCATCAACCTGCAGGTGCTAGTTTTTATTGCACTGAAACTCAATTCCATGTTGATTGTTGCATTCAAATGATAGATTCAGTCTTCCCCAGGGGACGTTCTTTACAAGAGTTTGTTGGTTTCGTTCGTGTTAATATGCAGATTGTTGCAGATTCCATTAACATTCTGAAAATGAATTGAGGTGTTCCCCCCCATAGGATTTTTTTTGGTTTTTTGATTGTTTGTTGGATGAAACTTATGGTGTGTTTGTAGCATTGTTGTATCTTATTTGGCAATGTTTCAGAGTAATTCCATCAACTCTGTTGTTTATATTATTGATGAATCAGAAATACCAGGACAAAGTATTCTTATGTTGTTTCTTGTTCTTGTATTTTTGTATCTTATTTGGTAATGTTTCAGAGTAATTCCATTAAAAAAAAAAAAATACAAACAAACAAACAAACCTGTCAGGCTTATTATGCGCCCAGTTGGTGCGTGCACGCTGGGTGCAGTAGGTGCACCCAATGCACACAGCACACCTATAGGAGCATGTTTTATTCTCTTTTTTTTTTTCTTTTTTTTTTTTCCATTTAATGAATCCCACAAAAATGTTGCATTTGCAGGAGAAAAACAAAAATTAAAAAACCTCCAACCCCAATTGTTAAAAAGCCGTCACCCAATTTTTGCTTCTTACAAAACCCCAAGAAACCCCTCTTTCTGTTGCTCTAAGAACATTGGGCTTACATGTTCTTCATACCAACCCTTCTACTCTCCAAGAAAGTTATAATTATTACTTCTTACTTGAAAGAAAAAGCCTAAAATGTACTAATCAGCTGATCATAACTTCTCAGATGGATGTTGGCAACATAGTTTAATTTCTTACAAATAAAGGATTACAAGTAATAGTGAATTGGCCCATCCATATATTTTATTTTAAAAACAAAAAACGTCCTTATTTTGAATAAATACTGTATAGTATATGATAATGTTGAGCATATATGTATTTATGCAATTATGCATGCACACATAGTTCAACAATTAACATTATAGTGTTTACAAGTTGCTGGACCATCAAAAAGGCAGTTGAATTGCACTTGTGAGGAAGCAATATAATAGTTATATCATGGACCCAAGGATGCACCCAACACATCTTGCGGTTTTTTCTCATTAAAATTTTTTCAACTTAAATTTATATTTCTCCTGTACAAATAAAATTAATCTATAAAAAATATATCATAAAAACTTTAATAGAGATATTTTAACTGATATCTATGTGGCTATGTGTGTAAATGAAAAAAATACTTCTATTCTTGAGATAAATTATATGTTAAGCATAAAGATTTTGGAGTAAGGATGTCAATTTTACATGTCCCCGGAGATCCCGTCAAGGATGTCAATTTCACATGTAGTCCCTGGTGAGGATCCCCGATCCCCGTCCTAACGTGTACAGAGATGGGTAAAAAATTCAAAGAACGGGGATAGGGATGGGGATACCTCTCCCCACCCGTCCTCGATTTTTGAAATATGATTATGATGATGATGACGAAGAAAATGACGACGACGACGACTGAAATTTAGAAAAATTGGTTGGAGTGACTGAAATTTAGAAAAATTGAATAGTTAAGGTAGTAAATTCACAATTTTAAAACTTGTAGACTACAATTAACAAGGCACCAATAATCATAGGGCCAAAAGTTCAATTTTATTCACCATACTCTTTTCTATAGTTTTAACAAATTTTCAGTTTAAAAAAAATTAGCTTCTTTTCGGATATTTTCAACCTAACATTAGATTGGATAATCCCCAGAGATAGCTTCAATTTCTAACATAAAAAATGATTAAAATTGTTAACATATCTAGTATTTGGAAAATCAAGCTCAAACCTATTAGCTTTTGTTTGAAATGGCAACAGTAATGTCATCAAACCACAAAGTACTTCTCTATAGAAATTGTGCTTATGATGGCTACAAATATCGTGTCCTATATTTAAACTAGTTTTTACACGTGCATTGCGACTGATTTAATACTTAATTTTTGTATTTAAATAAGTAATTCAAAGTATATCAATGCAATATTATATAGAAGTTCATTATAATTGGTATTAAAATTCATGTTTGTACTTTTCTAAAAACAATTATCTAAATACTTATTTATTTGGTATGGTATTTGGTAATAGATACTACTTTTGGTTGGAATTACTCTAAGTTTTGTCAATCCGTTTTTGGATAGGTTTGTCATTGTCTTCGTCTTTATTGCATGCTTAGCTTGTCCGCTTCTTTTTATTGGTAATATGTCTTATGTGTAATTGAGCTACTGGTGCTAATTTGCTAAAAGAACATATTTGAAACTAAAATAGGTTAACAATATTATTGTTATTTTTGAGTGAGTGTTGTTTCAGTTTCATAATTATATTGAATTTAAATGTGCTTGTTTTGTTGTATGACTTGCAAACATGAAGAGCGTCAGAAGGATGAGTATACATGCGGTATTTGCACAAATTGAATGCTGAAAATATACAAAAAGAAGTGATAGAGAAGGGGTAAAATCAAAATAATATGAACCACTCATTTCAACAAACAATTGGACCAACATTTTTTAGTTCCCGATATAGGTCTAATTTTATTAGCTCTAATTAACTTTTTTTAGTAAATTAATAGATTAGTAGAAATATTGTACTATTCACTTTATTAAAAGTATGAGAAAATACAACACATGTAAACATGTAATACATGATGTTAACAAAGAATCATATAATTTTATTTAATGATTAATGACAAATATATGTTCTAACAAGGACGATATGCTGCTTTTGTTAGGTTTGTCTTGCACTAGTATTTGTTTATACTAAGATTGTCTGAAGCAGCAATTTGTAACTTTTTAAGTCCAGCAGACAACTTTTGAATATTAGAATAATGATGAGTACATGAATACATGATCATAAGAGAACATATATAGATTACTGTGAATTATTAATAATCTTAATAAAATCTCAGCCTTTGAATGCTGTATTCCATGCCATCATCCCACTAAGATGGCCCAAATCCCATCTTTTATCACTTTTGTTATAAAGAAAAAAAAAATAAAGAAAAGGATTAAGAAATTAAAGCCTTGAAACTAGGAGAAGAAATGATTGCACAATGTTAATAACAACTGTAAACTGTTGTTATTCATCCTTGATAACTCATGATTAGCCAATTCAATTTCATTTTTTATACTTTTGCAACTTGGACTAATCAAATTCTAAGTATATTATATTGTACAAATAGATTAGTACGTCTCAGTGTATAGTGTGAGATCTTAGCTAGTGTACCTAAAGAATCCTGTAATCAGATTAAAAAAGTTCTCCTTAATTAGTTTAAAACCTTTTTTTTTTAAAATATATTTCACAATTAATAATCTTAGTTCAAGTGAATTCAAATGGGTTTGGTTTCCCTTAAATAGACCTGATAAGAACTTTTATATATAGTTTAATCGGAATTCAAGTCTTTACTAATGAACATAATTATGCACCCGATTTTGGGGTGTTTTGGTAAATACGGATTATCTGTTAGCTGATTGGGTTAGTGAGTTTGACTAGTTGATAACATTAGCTGATGGTAAAAAATTAGAAAAGTGTTTGATAAATTAGCTGATAACTAATTACATGCAAAATTATTTTCTCAAAAAGTTTATCGACAAAAATGTTTTGAGCAACTTTTTGAATTTTAATATTTTGAAACAATAAATTGTTACAAAAACCTAATTAATCAAATATTCATATTGATTGTTTAATCAAATCAAACAGCTAATAATAGTAAAAAAAAAAAAAAAAAAAAAAATTAACTGATAAGCTATGTTACTAAATGGAACCTTTTATCTTATTTTATTTTCTATAATGTAAAAGGGTATTCTAGGACTAATATCCTAGCTTTCTGAAAGTATAAGGTAATACTGCATGCCAAAATCTAAACTCAGAGGGGAACATACTTTGAAAGATTGTGTTTTTGCATTCGAAGATGCTCAGCTCGTAGCTAGAATGTGAAAAAAACATAAAACTTCAAAGAAGTCAGGCAAACCAAATTTTGCTTTTGGGAACTTCTATGATCAAAGCTTTATTAGTTCAATGCATTGGGATTCTGATATATATTTTTTTTTTCTTTAATCATCAATCCTGACCAAAAATATGCACCAGAATCAAAGACTCCCTAGAACCTGTAATGCCTTTAGAGCATCTACACTAGTGAAGAATAGTGAGTTATTTCAGTAATTAATTAGGGAAGAATGCATCTGTAAAATAGGAAATAATGTCAGAAAAAAAAGAAGAAAGAAAAAAAGAAACATCAGGCTGCTGTGCGCGTTTCGTGCACAGCAGCCCGCCCACACGGGCGCGTCAGGCGCGCCGTGACAGTTCTTTTTTTTTTTTTTTTTTTTGCGTTTATTTTTTTATTTTGATTTTTTTTTCCTCTCTTCCCCACATTCTCTTTCCTAATCACTCTTACATTATCCCCATATTCTTCCCAACTAATGTGGATGCTCTTAGATCAGATGCCTATTGATTTCATTCTTCCCCAATGCCTATTGATTTCATGTTATGCCTCAAGCCTAGCTTCGCAGAAAAAGAAGCTGCCAATAAGACCGTATTATGAATTATTATCCGTAAGATAAGTCGAGACAAGTCGAGTCAAAATGAAAATGTAATAATTATATTAAAAATGTAATATTCTCTCAGTCTTATTTTTCTTTGTCTTGTTTACTATTCATTGGTCAAACTAACTCTTTTTGAATTTGACATCAGTATTTATAATGTAGATTTTAAATATATATACTCCGTAAATTTTATATAGGAATAGTAAACTTAATATTATAAAAAAATTGAATTAAAAATAACTTCAGTCAAGTTTCGTTAGCCGAACTAGACAAACAAACGCAAATTATGCTGTGTATCCGTATGCACCATGCATGGTGCATACGGATGCAAACGACGTCGTTTTGAAGTAATGGTGCGACCTTCAGTCTTTTAAAAAAAATCCTGTTAACGGCGTTTGTTTCCATTCGCTATCCAAGTTTCCATTCCCCTTTTTGGCAGTTAGGCATTTTGGAATTCGCATTCAAAGTCTGTGCAATCGTAATCGCAATCGCAATTGCAATCTAATTTCGTATATTGACTGTTAGATGTGTAGTTATGCAATTATGGATGTATAGTTATTAAGTTATGGATGTGTAGTTTTGCAATTCTGGATTTATAGTTTTGCAATTCTGGATTTGTAGTTATGCAATTATGGATGTTTAGTTATGCAATTATGGATGTGTAGTTATAAAATTATGGATGTGTAGTTATGCAATTATAGATGTGTAGTTATGAAATTATGGATGTGTAGTTATGAAATTATAGATGTGTAGTTATGCAATTATGAATGTGTAATTATGCAATTATGGATGTGTAGTTATGCAATTCTTTAACATGCTCTTTCTGTAATTATGGACGAAGCGCACTTTTTGTAATTTAAAAAAAAAATAAAATTGATTGGTGGAGTGAAAACGGTGCCACTAACGGCACCGTCACTCCAAAACGACATCGTTTGCATCCGTATGCACCAAGAATGGTGCATACGGATGCACAACATAACGATTGACAAACAAAGGAGGTGTTTTGGTAAATGGTTGTTAGCAAATTGGGTTAGTGGGTTTAACTAGTTGATTGCGTTAGCTGAGTGTTTGGTAAATTAGCTGTTAATTATTAGCTGATTACATACAAAATGACTTTCTCAAAAATCTGATCGAAAAAGCTGCTTTGAGTAGCTTTTTGAATTTTAACATTTTGGAACAATAAGTTGTTACAAAAGGCTAACGGAGGGAATACTAACAAGGAATAAAGTGGTTGCTATGTGTAAGGGAAGGTGTAATATTTTAAAAAAAAAATATAATACTTTTAAATCAAAATATAAAAGTATTACGATTCACTTTCTTTTATAAATAATAAATATATTTTATTCCTAATTAGTATTACATTTTTTAATATAAATTTTAAATTTTCAACCACAAGATTTCACATAAGTTTTTGCTTATATAGATATACTAGAACATAGAGATGCAGAAGAAAAAGAAACAAGAATAAAGCATTAGGCATCCTCCCACTGCTTTATGTTTTGACTAAGAAAATCATCCTCCCATATGCTCTGTTAAGTCAGGATGTAGGCGCCTTTAAAGTTGGGAATTCAACTTTTAAAAATAATGTTTTGAGTAAGAAAAAGTGTAGTATAAAAAGTACTCCGTATAAAATAAGGAAATAAGCCGTGAAGGATAAGAATATTTAGTGGGGATGAGGAAAGGGAGTTGGGTGTAGACCATTTGCACATTTCATATACTGTAAATTAAAAACATAGCAACCCCACCCAAAAGTTTGTGGTGTATAGATAAATCAATCAACAAACAAAAATGATAAGAGTTAAATTATCTAATGGAATATAGTATGATTGACTGATATAATATTTTAACTTTTCATTTGACCATCAATCAATCTTAACATATTATGGGTTTAACTTACTGATTCAGTAGATAATATTTGAGAAAGAGACTAAGGTTCAAAACTTAGCAACGGATGGACAGATCCCTTATACGTAAACATTTGACCCTGTCTAGTATGCTAAGCTTATTATGATTTACATCCTCTTAAATGCTCTATTGAATTGGAGTTGGAGATTTAATCTTTTGAAAAGAATGAAATGTAATTTTTGTTTTTGGAAAAATTAAGGAAATTCATTGCAGAAAAGACAGCCCAACACCAAAAGGACAGACATGTCATAAGAGGCATTAATGGCATCTGCAAAAGATAAATATAATGATGACAGAGGTAGATATTGCACTGTGGAACCTGCAGTGGTAGAGACTTGTGCATAGACTTCAATTCCAAACATCACCCAATAATTGTGCAATAATAATACTTAGTATACTATTTTCCATTCCCCCAAATATATTAACATCACATTCTTCTGCGTTGTATGATCACCAAAATTACACAAAAAAGGAAAGACAAAACATAAAAATGAACATCGGAGATTAATTTACTAGATCAATCTCCTTTCCTTAACTAAATACAATTGCTAGCTACCTGCTACTATTATTTTCTCCCCGGAAAGATTGAATCTCCCACCTTAAAGAACCAAAATCACGGTTTCAAAAGAAATCTGTCCACTTTAAGCATAACCGGACAACTATTATCTTAAACTCTGAGCAGGTAAAGACTAAGTTCTGGAGCGCCATTGCTGTCTGGGTTCATCATGTAGAATGCTTCTGAATCTCTAGACCCAACAACCCTGTCAAACTTGGCTCTCAAGTACATGATTTCTCCGGCGGCTGAGCCGCCGCCGCTGTCTCCTCCGTCTATTCGCAACACGCCGGCGCCCATGGAGATAGGCTCCACGGACTTCAAAATCTCCCAGTCTTTAGCCCCACATTCGCGTCGATTCGCGAACCCACACTTCTTCCCATTGCAATGCGTTCTCCAAACAGGCTCGTCTATGAGCCTCCCCGCCGTGCCTGCAGCCTTGATGGTCTTCTTCTCGTCGTCCTTGTCGCATTCCAGGGCAATCCGGACGAGCTCCGACGCCATTTCCCGGACCAGCCCGGAGATCGGGGTGGCTAATTCAACCAAGAACACCGGCTCCGATGTGGGGTCTTTCTGGAACGCGATATGCACGTTGCCGCCCCGCCGGTGGCCGAAAAGGGTGCCCACCACCTTGGTTCCAAGGCGGCGCTGATGGGTCATCAGCAATTGCATTATTCTGTTCCTCCCAATTGAACCCAGCACAGATTTCAGCCTGGAAACCGCCCTGGCTTGCCTGCTTGTAGCCGCTGATTCTTGGTCTTGAGGTTTCAATGGGCAAAGAAGCTTATTGGGATCTTCTTCTTCTTGTTTAAGATCACTACTCTTTGTGTCTGAGGAGGGGCTGAGATCTTCTTCTTCTTCTTCTTCATTGCTAACTTTGGTTGTCCAATGGAACTGCCTCTTAGAGGGAGAATCTTGGATACTCCTAGCCATGATTGTCTTCATCCAAGAAAATGAAAGGAAACCAAATTAAACAACTAACCCAGGCCCTTTAGTTGTTGGGTGAGAGAAAGAAAGAGTGCAGAAGAGAAAATAAACTGGAATGGTTTGGTCCTTTAATAAGCTATTGTATATATACAAAATTATATCCAGAAATAGGAAAAAGCTAGGGTTAGAATAATTAGGCAAATTGGTCCATTATGTGGATCTAAAAAAAAAAAGAGTAGATTTTAAATATACTAAATCTACATTATTTTTATACTGAAGGTACATTATACAATATAATGTATACTCAGTACAAAAATAATGTACATTCCATGAATATAATGTACATTATTTTATAGTATACAAAATATAGTCCACACAACTTAATGATTGGAATAATTATAGGAACTACTGCACAAAGTTAAAAAACAATATTAGACTAAGGTCCTATTTGGTAACATAGTTAGTTTATCAGTCAATTTTATATTATTTGACTTTTATTAGCTGTTTGATTTAGTTAAAAAATCAATATGAGTGTTTAATTAATCAACTTTTTGTAACAGCAGCTTATTGTTCCAAAATGCTAAAATTCTGCTTAAAACAATTTTTCAATCAGTTTTTTAAGAAAATCATTTTGCATTTAATTAGATATCATTTAACAGCTAATTTACCAAACACTTTCCTACAACCAGCTAATTCTATCAACTAGTCAAACCCACTAACTCAATCACTAATAGCGATTTACCAAACACTGCCTAAGTTCAAGACTTTATATATATATATATATATATATATATATATATATATATATATATATATATATATATAAAATTCTCTAATATGTAGAAGTGTAACAGCCCAACAAATTTCCCTATTAAGCTGATTTAACATTAACCTAAAGAAATCCAATCCTAATTCTCTTGCTTAACCCTAAAACTTGTCCCAACAGTATATTTAAAAAAAAAAAAAAAAAAAAAAAGATTGCATCCTATTTTCAGAATCCCTATATTTTCTTTATGTCTCAATAATCTACATGTTTTAAGAAGTGTTTATATATTGGTGCTCACAACACGATCAATATTCTATTGTTGCTAAGCCTATTATTAATTCTCTTTAATTATTTGATTAATTAGTTGAGTTATGTATCGACAAATCGAGGACATTAGTACTATATAAAAAACGATCCTATCCTAATCCCGAAAATCCCCACCAACCCTACACTACAAAGTGGCATTGGAATTGGAGCAAAGAACAGTAAAGGGTTGAGGGGATAACAAAAGGAAGAAGTTTTGAGATAAAGAAAGGAATCTCAAGCAGACATTGGTAGTGTAATTTCACTTTCTTGTGGGGCAGAGGTGTGAAAGGTGAGTGTTTAGCTTGACTCACTGTTTATTTTTGACTTCCAATAACACAATACTACATACTCCCATTCTCTACTCCTAATATTTACTCTCATACTTAAAATATTAATGTAGACACTTTTACAAGACTCATGAAGAAAATAATCTATCAGAGCTCGTCACATCAGAGAATAAACTTGAAGGAGTAAGATTTTGGAGTACATGTAGTAGAACTCCTTCCAATAACCCAAAATACATATATTGGTAATGAAGCAAATAGAAAAAGGGAAAAGAGAGGATATATAGTGAAGACAAAAGAACAGTCAGTGTTTATGGTAGACATCCCTTCTGCTTCCATGTCTGATCTTCTTCATTCATCTTCTGTTGGTAGCTAGCATGCACACTAAACTGGACCAAACACTGGAAAAGGAATTTCAGTATATATATATATATATATATATATATATATATATATATATATATATATATATAATGCATGGGCTATCTATCAGAAGATGCATCAATATCTGCTCTAGACAATTGTAGCATTCTTGGGTATTAAATTTAATAACCAATTTTGGTCTGGTTTTTTGTCCTTAGTGCTATTTCACTTGAAGTGTGAAATTACCAATTTAGACATGGTTGTCTATTTTCTTCCCTTAAAAGATTGAATTTCCAATCCTCACCCTAACCCGATAGAAGATTTGAGAAGATGTAAATCACGGTAACTCAGTAGCTCAGCAAATATTGTCAAATCATGTTTGCCTTGTTTGTTCCCTCTATAGGTAGAGTTATCCTAGAGCATTCACAATGTGATAGGATATTTGATACGGAGTATTTCCCTTCACATTATTATCCAATTTTTATTTATTTCACGTCACCCCAACAATTATTTATTATATTAAAAGAAAAAGACAGAAATTAAATAATCATAACGTGTCATGTGAGATGAAATCTTTTTGGTTATGTACATTTAGGTGGTGTTTGGTAAATAACTATTTGTTGATAGCTGATTACATACAAAATAATTTTTTTCAAAAAGTTGATCGAAAAAAGAATTTTAGTATTTTAGAACAATAAACTGTTACAAAAATCTAATTGATCAAAAACTCTTGTTTAACCAAGTCAAACAGCTAATAATACTCCTAATAATGCCAAACAGGGCCTTAGTATTACACTTGGGTCCCAACTACTAATGTTGGAGAGCAACGCAATTTTATTTGTCAGGGTTTCATATCCATTTCTGTTCAAATTTCAAACTTCAGTGCCAATAACTGTTCAATCCTTATTTTAGCACAAGTCACTCAACTATTATAAAACTTGTTTTTTTTTTTTTTTTTTTTTAAATTTTATAAATCCATTCTATAAAGTTAAAAATGAATCCCTAACATTAATTATGTCTAATTTTTAATAGTTAAGATATCAATATGTCTAAATTGATAGTCAAAATGTTTGGCTCTGAGTTAAAATCTTATCAACAAATACCAAAATGAATAAAAACTACACTCTATCAACCCATAACAACAGCCTTGAAGCTGCAAATTTTGAAGTGAAATCAGCAATTTACAGGTAACATATGGACATAATTGATAAGAGTACACAGACTGAACACATAACCCAAGCATACTTAGCTACAAGCTTTTATACATACTCTGTTAAAAAAAAAAAAAAAAAAAAAAAAAAAAAAAAAAAAAAAAAAACAAGTCAATGGGCTTTGACTAGAGCTCCTGGATGGGGTGTCGAGTCCTAAAGTTAGCTGTTTGTGTTTTGTTGTTCTGGCTCGGTATTCGGTTGTTTGGGGACTGTAATGCCGTTGTTCATCCTTGCCCTCGCCTCTGCAAACATCCTCTGCTGCGCAGCCAAGGCTTCTTCTTCCGTCATTTCAGCTCCATTGCTCAACTTCCCGGCCCTCACACTGTCCTGCTGGAATATGGACATACACGAAAATGTAATTTCTAACAAATTGCAGGTATTTACACGAAAATGGTTCCTTAAAACTGACGGGTTCTCATTTCCTCGTCTAAAAAACAAATTGCACTCGAGGAATTACCATGGTTTCAAGCCTGTGTTGTTCGTATGCAGCATAAACTTCTTCAATATAGTCACCAAATCCAAGAACCTGCCAGATCATCCAGTATAAGCCAAAGCTTGATGAGAATTAAATATGAAAAAACAAAGTGGTTGAATCTCATGTAAAACTTCAAATGAATTCTAAATGGGTTTTTGAAATTTAATGGAGCTTAAAGAATGGTCATAAATTGCTTAGGAAATTCGACTTGGATAGCCATGCAAAACAATAATGGGAAATTCGACTTGAAACTACTCTAAAAGTACTATTAAACACGAAAAATCAAATTTAAAAATAAGTAAAAAAAATACTAAAGAAAATAAACAAAGAATAAAGAGTTGGTTTGACCAATGAATAGTGAGTATGACAGATAAAATGGGACAGAGGGAGTAATAACATTGACAATAGAAGCTCACGCCAATGGAACTTGAGAAAACTAAAAGCAGATTGCACTCATGGAGAATGCTAACTGCATATCATCGAGAACAACACCAAACTAAAAACTACACAAGGATTAGTCATATATTCACAAGGGAAATAAACCAAAGTTATCCAAACAGCAAGGATTAGTCAATTACATCTAGCGCCTTGAGGACATGTTCCGGTGCAATTGTCCGCTTGTCTTCTCTATTACAAACTTCATTAGATTCTGAGGAAATCAGATTGATAAACTCTGCAAGACAATAGTAATCCATAATTAAGACCCGAAATGGGAGTCAATCCATGAATACTACAGCAACAGATTGCCAGCATGACTCAAATACACAAGCAACTAAAAGATACAATACTCACCTACACAACATTCAATCAAAAGGTCCTGACAGTCCCGGGCTACACGAACGTCTGGAGGCAGCATTTCTTTTATAATTTTTGTCATAGTTGCTGTAAAGCAATCATAAGAATCATTACTAAAGCAAAGGACTAAATAAAAAAAAAAGAACAAAAAAAAAAAAACAAGATCTAACAATTTAATATGATGAATTATGAATAAGTGTGTATTAAGACATGATACACCAGAAGACCAGCAATCATAATTTCACACCCATTGTATACATCAAATCATAACTTGATTTTCCTAGTTACACTCGAAGAAACCATAGGAAATACTGAGTACCCAGTAGGTATCATAAGTAGAAGTAAAGGAGGTGAAAGTGATAAGTGCAAGGCCCCTAAAATTAGACAAACATCTACGACCTTCTATATATTGCAAAGAACTAATTGTATCTATCATGATAAAATTTGTTTACAGGTGAATTGGGAACACAGTCTACATGTTTACAGAAGTAGTTGCTAGGTCAATCCTGGAGAACTGATATGACAAACACTACCAGGAAGAGAACATCACTCACTTACTACAATAACTCACTTGTTAAGTTTAAGCTATCAGTCTTCCACATGAAAAGAAAACAAGATTCCATTTTTTTTTTCATAAACTTGAAGAAAGAAGAAACAAGCATCCAGGGTCTATTCAACTAGAAACATGGTTGAAATTTGTACCCCTGTTATGAGTTCTTGAGCACTCAACACAAGGCCATAACAAAATTTTCCTCAATTACTATCACGGCCTCAGACCTTCACAAGCACAACCTTCGAAAATCCAAACAGAGAAATCATAATTTTTCAACTCAGATCCCCCTGAATCCCTTCGCCAAAAATATTTATTAACCTTCCAAATATATTAAAATTATCATATCATTTTTCAATTTCATAAATTCGCCAAATTAGGTATTACTATCGCTGAGAAAACTGGAAACCCTATGAGTCAACGACTACACAAGCAAAAATAAAGCGTAGAAATTAGAAATCAAAGTACAAATTGAATTTTTTTTTAAAAAAAATTGAACCTTTAGGAAGCGAAGCATCCTCTTTCGTTCTACCAACGATGTCCATAGGTTCCATTTCGGCCCTTCAAATCCAAATCAAATCAAATCAGCAAATCAAAATAATAGAGAAATTAAATACATCGATGCACATATAGAACGATAGTAACAGATCTAAAGCGTAGAATGACAATTTTTCCAAACAAAAAAATAATATCAAAGGTTTTACCTTGCAAACAGCGGCAGATCGGAGGGAGGGACAAAAACGAGAATTCACAAGGCGAATCAGCCGATCGGAAAAGATCGAGAAGTTGGTGATCGGAGTAGCAGTAGTCGCAGGCGGCGGTGGTGAATGGTCGATATAGAGAGAGCTGAAGAAGAGTTCAAACCGAGGTAATTCCACACGAGCAGGAAGTGAGGTGAAGGTCACGGAACGCATGGGACCCAGGAGGAGAAGTCGGTGAGTGGGGCGTGCGAAACACGCGAAGGGAAATGCGTTGTTGGAGTGGGCGACATAAAATAGAACAATGATATGTTTATATAGGTTCCGTGCTGAGGCAAAGGAGGATAAACCATAGGTATGCTTCATTATTATAAATTATAAATTATAAATTCATTATTTATAATATTATAAATGTATTAAAATGAAATAAATATTATTTTATTTTATTTTTTATAAATAAAACTAGTGTTACAAATAAATTATTAAAAATATCTCATTGAAATCTTTTGGATAATATACATATTAATATATTTTGAAACTTGGGGTGTGGTTAGACCTGACAATTATGGACACAACACGAAACCGAACACGAAAATAACGGATTAGTGTTTAGCCTTAACGTGTCCTGGGTCGATAACGGGTTAACACGTTAAGGACCCGTTATGTTTAGTGTCTTAACGGATCAACTCGTTAAACCTATTAAGAACCCGTTTAACCGGTTAATATTATCGTGTTAATCTGTTAACACGAACCCATTTACCAAACATATTTATAACCCGCTAAGAACCATTGTCATTTAGGTAAGAACCATTTTCATGAATGAGATCACAAAAGATATTATGAACATGACTAAGGATAAATTTACTACATTAGGCCAAGATCCTACACCAATTACTGATGTTCAACAATTTGAAATTTGAATTTTTATTGTGTTCAATTTTATTCTAAAAACTAGTATGGACTCATTTAATTATGATTTTTAGATGTTATTTTGTCATATTATGAATGTTATGAATTGAATATTTTTTAGTTTGTTTGATGGATTGAACTATAATTTTTTTTTTTCTTTTTAAATTTTATAGAACGTAACTTTAAATTTTAGTTTTTTTTTTTAAATATATTAATAGAAATAGTGGGTTTAAACAAGTTTTGTGTCGACACGACTTGAAACCTGTTAACAAAACATGTTTATCGTGTCAACCCGTTTAACCCATTAACAAATCGTATTCGTGTTCGTGTCGACCCGTTAATGGATCCGTATACACGAATTGTCAGGTCCAGGTGTGGTTGAGTAAAAGAGGTTCATTCATCCTTTAACTAAATGTCAATGGTTCGATTCTTAGCTTTGATATGGAGCATCTATAATTTAATGATGGAATTAGTCACTCTGTAGAAAACTCTGAGCTACACAAAAAAAAAAAAAAAAAAAAAAAAAAATTAATATATTTTGGAGTAAATACACAAAATGGTCCCTCGACTATAGCTAAATTCATAAATTGGTCCTCAACTTTCAATTTCACCCAATTAAGTCCTTAACTTTGTAATTTTAACACAATTTGGTCCTCTGTTTATTTGACCGTTTGTTGACTGTGATTTTTGAGGATATATATGTAATTTCATGGTCCATCGTCGGTTTTTTAAGGTTCCGGTTGCATTTCCAGATCGCACTGTTACATTTGAATCCACTGTCGAAAGCAATCTACCAAATCCGGTCACCTTCTTCATCCTCCCTTTGGATTCAATGTAGTTGAATTCGTACCAGAGCGAAGAAGACGACGTGTTTCCGAACCGGTGCAACGTTATCCTGGAGGCCTCCACGTGCTCCGACGAGAGCTGAAGGTTCTTCTGGAGATCGTCGATCACGGTCAACAAACGGTCAATTATATGGAGGACCAAATCGTGTCAAAATTGCAAAGTTAAGGACTTAATTGGGTGAAATTGAAAGTTAAAGACCAATTTGTGAATTTAGCTATAGTAAAGGGATCATTTTAAGTATTTACTCTATATTTTGAATATTAGTAGTTTATTGATAGACATGCAATATTGATGAAATGAACCTGCAATATTTATGATCATCTACTATAATAAAGCCCCAACATCTTGAAAAATTAAAATAGATTACTTTCACGCCCACTGAAAACAGTGGCGTTTAGTTATATAAGACATCTCACAGCTGATAAATTTAATTTCAAAAGCTGAGTTCTTAAGTTGTCTTTTTGAATTCCATTGCAGCTTATTATTATGGTTTCATCGTTTATCCAAATTCCAAACGGTGGTAATCATCATTGTTTTACAGATTTGAATTAGTAATACACGACATTATAAATAGAGATAGTTCAGTTATGGATTACGTAGTTCATCTCCTTCACAACTTCTTAAGATAGTCTTTAAATACAATACAAAGAGCAAAAGATATGATTCCAATGTTTATCCTTGCAATCGAGATCTCTCCATTTAAAACAACTTCTGCCATTAAAGTCATATTGGTTCGTACATACCAAGTAGTAGAAAGGAGGGGTAGTAGAAAGGAGGGGCAGTGATTCCATCAAATCCAAAGGGTGCATATTTCATGACGAAAATGTATCTTTCCAGTAGTGTACATATCCAAAAAAAAAAAAAAAACACAAACAAATGAGAGACATTATGTTTAAAACAGAACTGATGAACATTAAAATGAGAAACAATATATGTCAAAACTGCTATTTTTACAAGCTTTTTCTCTGCTGATATATATTTTTTCCCTGTTAATAATTTGTTTGCAGTATTTTTTCTATTCAATGAACTTAACAATGTACATAAAACAAAAAATACAAATGAGAAACATTATGTGTAAAACTGATCTTTTTACAGGCTTTATATATGCTCACATATATATATATATATATATATATATATATATATATATATATATATATAGGGTGAATCAACGATTTGGTCCCTCACTTATTCGCGACTTGTCAATGTTGTCCCTGAATCACGTATTCATCGATTTAGTCCCCGAAAATAATTGTTTTTCGTCAAATTAGTCCCTATGACCGTATTCCGTCAAGTCTCAGGCGAGAGCTCCGATTTGCCCTGGGCATTTTGGTCTTTTCACGCCTTCTTCTTCATTCCATCGTCGCACAGCAGCTTACCCAAAAGCCAAGGTCGCCGGAAAACTCCATTGTCGGTTTGCTGCCTCGCCGGGAGTGATCAACTTGAAAATATTGCAAAGTACGAGGAAGTCATCAACTTGAAAATAAACCTCCATTCTCAAGCTTTCCATCAATGGCGAACTCTTCTCTCGTTCTCCTCTCTCTTCTTCTTCTCCTTCTCCCTCTCTCCCTTCTCCTCTTCTTCTACCTCATCGTCCGGCCGCGTCCCGTGAAAGTCTCCATCAGCAACCGCCACGTCTTCATCACCGGAGGCTCCAGTGGCATTGGCCTGGCTCTAGCTCTCCAAGCCGCCGCAGAAGGCGCCAAGGTCTCCATACTAGCTCGGAATGCCGGGAAGCTCGAGGACGCCAAGCACGCGATACTGCGCGCCACCGGCTGCGGCGTCGCGGCGTTCAGCGCCGACGTCAGAGACTACGACGCCGTGAAGAGGGCCGTGGAGGAGGCTGGGCCTATCGACGTTCTGGTTTGCAATCACGGAGTGTATGCATCGAAGGAGCTGGAGAATCAGGAGGTCAAGGAGGTGAAGATGATGATTGACGTGAACTTGACAGGGACTTTTCATCTCATCAAAGCGGCGTTGCCGGGAATGATCAGCCGGCCGGCGAACCGTGGACCTGGATCAATTGCCATCATTTCGTCTCAGGCCGGCCAGGTATATTTTCGATCTTCTCTCTTTTTGATGGGTGACAGAAAAAAATTGTACTCCTTAACAATTACTAAAGGCCAGGGTGTACGCGAAGGATATATTAGGGATGGACGGGGAACAAAGTGACCCCGTGGAGCATTCAAAAAACATAATCCAAATTGCCTCGCCGGAAAACTCCATTGCCGGTTTGCTGCCTCGCCGGGAGCTCCATTGGTCAGAGTTAATGAAGAAGAAGGCGTGAAAAGACCAAAATGCGCAGGGCAAATCGGAGCTCTCGCCTGAGACTTGACGGAATACGGCCATAGGGACTGATTTGACGAAAAACAATTATTTTCGGGGACTAAATCGATGAATACGTGATTCAGGGGCAGCATTGACAAGTCGCGAATAAGTGAGGGACCAAATCGTTGATTCACCATATATATATATATATATATATATATATATATATATATATATATATATATATATATATATATATATGTGTGTGTGTGTGTGTGTGTGTGTGTGTGTGTGTGTGTGTTTTCAATCTTTGTTCTATTTAGGGAACCTACCTACATGCTCATATACCTAAGGAGCATGTTGCTAAGTACCATAAGGTCTTCAAACACTGCTGAAAGTGATCTTAAATCAAGTCGGAAGCCCTTGTTCCGATCATTTTTGCAAAATCGTCGTGGCGAAAGGGTCACGGTGGCCGCCTTGAATTACAATTCCGATCAAGCGGCGAGATGAATCTTTTGCAGATGGCTTAAATGCGTGACGGGGTATTGTAAGTGGTAGAGTGGAATTGCTGCCACGATCCTCTAAGATTCAGCCCTTTGTCGCTCCGATTCATCCCTCCCACCCCATCCATCCTGCATTTCATCACTCTCTCCCTATCAATCCAATTCAATCCACATTATTACGCGAGAGGTTCCGATTCCCAATGATTGGTTATGGTGTCTAAGTAGTTACACACGCAATCAAGAAATAAAGGCTTGATAAAATGGCTAAGTGTCCAAGTATTCAAAAGTTTGAAGTGAAGTTTACAAGTGTTTAGTGCCCAAGGACTTAGCCACGTTTCACTCGAACTTTGCTTTGCGAACGAAGGTGCCTACGTTGGGCATAAATTGCGGACGATGGTGCCTAAGTTGGCAACGGATGGGGCACTATGGTGCCTAAGTTGCGGACGGATGCGGCACGTTGGTGCCTAAGTTGCGGACGGAGGTCCCTAGCAGGTGCCTATGTTGCGGACGGTGGTGCCCACGAGGTGCCTAAGTGCGGATGGGGGTGCGTAGCAGGTGCCTAAGTTGCGGACTTAGGTGCCTACGATGTGCCTAAGTTGCGGATGGAGGTGGGCACGAGGTGCCTAAGTTGCGGACGGAGGTGGCTATGAGGTGTCTAAGTTGCGGACGGAGGTGCCAAAGTTGCGGATGGAGGTGCCTAAGTTGCGGACGGATGCGGCACGTTGGTGCCTAAGTTGCGGACGGATGCGGCACGTTGGTGCCTAAGTTGCAGACGGTTGCGGCACGTTGGTGCCTAAGTTGCACGACGGATGTGGCTCGATGGT